GTGGGCTGATTTGTTTGTTGAAGAATCATGTGTTTGGGAAGCTTTCTTGCTCATTTTCTGGATGCAATGATGAAAAATTTAATAAATAATGCATGTAGGTGGCTAAAATGATGAAGAATGAGTGGTGGAAATGCAAGGGAAAGCTAGAAATACATGTGAAGATGTTGGAATTTCACAAGGTGAAGTGCACGGCAATGATGCTTGTTTGTTGGTGAAAATGTGTTGGTTGCATGTTTGTGGATGAATGGGGTGTAAAGGTGGCTGCAAGGTTGAATGAATAATGAATGCATGTGTTGATGAAATTACATTTGGAAAGCTGAAATGTGGAGGGGATGCACGGCATGGATGTTTTGGTGTGTGAATGGTTATTGTTTTGCATGTGAAGTGTGTTGTGAATGTATGTGGGTTAAATGATTAAAGGGGGTGGAAGATGGATGAATGATGGATGAATGGAATGAAATGTGTATGCACGGTTTTGGTATGGAGAAAGGGGTGAATGTGCATGTGGGAGATGGAATGGAATGTATGTGAATTATGTTGGGAAAGCTATGAATGTGCATGGCACAAAGGTGTGGATGATTTATGAATGCATGTGGGTGAATGATTTGTGGTGCAATGATGAAGAGTGAATAAAGAATGCATGTAGGGTTAGCTAGGAAAGTGGGAATGTGGTTGAATGATTAGAGGGACATGCATGTGGTTTGTTTGATTGCTTGGTGAGATGATGCATGCTTGTAGTTTAGGGTGTTGAATATGGATTTGCATGGCATTTGAATTGATTGTGGGCTTTTGGAATTGGAAGGAAATGCATGGCAAAGGGCTTGGTTTAAGAGAGAATGGGCTAGGCCCTTTGTTTTATGTCCAAAATGAATACAAGGCCTTCAAATTCGTCCAACATTTTGGCTCCAATCATATGCCATCCATTCCAAGCCCAATTTTGCTCCAAAATGCTCCAAAATGCATCTTTTTTCTTCCTTAAGCCCTTAGAACCTGAAAACACACAAAAGAAGCATAAAGGACTAAAATAACTAGAGAAACATAACGTAAATGCACGAGAACAAGCCGTTTAAGTCGCATGAATATGCTCCTATCAGCCTCTAGTAGGGCAAAGGAGACTCATGTTGCCTCCGATGTTGACGTGCTGGTCTATGTTGCTTTTCTGCTTATCCTGTTTGTCTATGTCGTGATATCGGTGCACGTGGTTCATTTCTGGCTAGTGAGCGAGTTGCTCACGGTCGAGCTTGGCGGGGGGTTGCCAGTGGAACTTGAGCTGGACAACTCTCGTGCTCTTATTGATCTGTCTTTCCAGCTGCCTACTTTAGTGCCTCATAAAAGGATCTCCTTGTGGGCCTAACCTCGTGCAGACGCTTCACCTAGAATGTCCAGAGTGCTCGTCGAAGTGTGAACCTAACCTTGAATGAACATTGACTCATGAACCGATTCAAGAATGAATGCTTCTTTGCACATTGAGGCAGGAGAAGATATTTTCTCGAGGGCCAAACCCAAGCACACGGTCCATGGCGAGCTAAGTGGTTGCTTGTTGGGATGTCGCTGGGACGAGTCACGATCATCTACCCTTGTCTTGCTTCAGGACACCTTGTATCGGGCGCGCTGTTACTCGATGCGCTCAAGGAGCTGATTCACCAAGGTGGTCTAAAAACCAAATGCGAGAGTTCTTAGAGTATTTGAATTAGTTCTTAACGAAAACACCAATTTGTCAATGCAAACTTGCACCTTTTCTAGTTTTGACCAAAATGCACCTACAAAACAATCAACAGCTATGATCAAAGACCTAAGCCTCAAACGCCCACGAGGTTTAGAAGGGGGTGGTTAGGCCAATAGATCTCTGATGCCTAAGTTAGTTTCTCTCAAAAGAGTAAGTGTTTAGGGCTGACATCCAATTGGCCAAGGTTTATGAAAAAATATTCTCAAGATATTAAATAGAAAATAATGTCTTGAGATAGTGGTGTAAATATCTCTAATTGATTTAAATGGGTTACTTGCTTGAATGAAGTCGGTCTTAAATTTGGAATGTATTAAAGATAGGATTTGGGTAATTAATCATTATTTTTAATGTTTTGACTTTTCCTTGCCAATGGCAAGTGTGCTGTGGGCAATCGTATTCAGTTGCATGGACCTTCAAGGGTGTTGAGCAGCACGTGGGAGTATTTAAGTAATATGCCCATTTAATGAGGGCAATCTTATCTTTCTTCAACAAAAGTCCATGTGTCGCCTCTAGACTTTTTGGGGTTATTTTAGGCTCCACTGATAGCTCTATACGTTTTTCTATTTAGGGTTTGCATATACTTGTATGTATATTAACCTACCTAAATTTTTGGTTTCGATGGTTTACAAAGTTACAACTTTTGCCCCTACATTATTTTCTTTGACAATTATTATATCACATTAAATACATATCATTTTAGTCATTTAACATATTCACAATAATTTTATATAAAAGTTTACCAAACACTTACGATTTTTTTTTTGGTTAAAAACACATTTACAAAAAAAAAAAAAAAAAAAAAAAAGGTTTACAAAATACTCACAACTTTATTTTATAGTTATTTATTCTTACAGTACAACAGAAACAATTTTTTTGTCTTTTAAAAAAAAAAAAAAAGCAATACCAAACTAGTCCTAAATGAATTAATTGTGTGTATACGCAAGGGGAATACAACGAGGGGAATGGGAATTGCACACAATCCAACCGATTCAAGTGTTTACCAACACTTGGGGGAATGAAAAGCATATGTGGGACCCACTTAAAATGGGAATTAGGTTACTGATTTTTCCGGAATTGGATTACCGAACAATGGGTAGTAATTCAACTCCGGGAGAAAGCCTTAATCCAGAATAAACTTTTCTACCCTAAACTACCCTTCTTTCCTTCTACCTCTATCTCTACTTCTCTCTGTCAAAGAAAGATTATACAGATTTCATGGCTTGTGGGATTGTGCAAGTTTCATGACCAAAATTGAAAGGGAAGAAGATAGGAGATTTTGGATTTCAGTTTTGATCTTACGTTGGTTGGCAATGACCAAAATCAATTCGATTCGTCCACCGACTCGATCTCATTGCAAACCGAATTAAACATTTACAAAATCAAGAATAGGTGGAGAGAGATGAATTTGTAGGAGGGAGAAAGAGAGAGCGCAAAGGGAGCCGGTTGGTGGTGACATGGGAGGTGGCTAGTGGTTATAGGAAAGGCGGTGGCTATCGGTTAAAGGGTGGGGAAGAGGGATTGAGTCACGATAGAAAATGAAAATATGGGAAAGATAGAGATGGGGTAGTAGAGGTCTCAACAAAATATTAGAAAATCAAAATATGAAAGTTTACTTAAAAAAAAAAAAAAAAAAAAAAAAAAAAAAGTATTCTTTGTACTAAAAAAATAATAATTAAAAGTAATTAGCATATAAAATAGATTAGTTAAAATAGGGGTATTTTAGTAATTATATTAGTTTTTATTCCGATTCAATGTTAGTTTAATAGATCAATGTCATTTCTATTCCGATTACAGACAGTTTCAATAAACAACTTCAACAGAAATCTGATTTTGATTCCATCTCATTCTAATTCCTCTTCAATTCAATTTATCCTCAATTCAATTCCCCTCAAACTGATTATAGATTAGTAAATGAGCTATAAAATTTACAACACACCTAACGAAAAAAGGTCCACTGATTTAGGCCCAGTAGAGGAAAAGAAGCCCAATTGCCATCACCATCACTTTTTCTTGATTTCAAGTCCCTCTGCCCTAAATTACTTAGCATATCCTCAAGCCTAGCTTCCATAAAATGGCCATTTTATGTCACCTTGAAATCTAACTTATTTTGCAGGATAAAAAGGCTTTTTAGCCAAAATAGCCTCTGAGATTTGCATAACACATCACTTTGATCTCTAAGATTGAAAATCAATAGAAATGGTCCTTGAGATTATCCACCATCTATTATTTTGGTACTTCCGTTAAAAACTCCGTTAAGTGTCCCACAGCTCTTAGCCGAAAGTTTGGGCAATTTTAAAAGCTTCGTAACTCAATCGTTTCTTAACCTAATTCAACCCATAATATATCAAAATGAAGATAGGAAAGTGTAGAATAATATTATACCTATTTGGAAGCCCAATGGTTACCGGAGATGGCCAGAAAATAGCCTGAAAGGTAACTGGTCTGCGGGAAAACTGGAAAACTCGCAGGAAACTGGGTAGACTTTAAACGTTCATAACTTCTTCAATGCTCAACGAAATTGAGTCATTCAAAAACAAACATCATAGTTATCGATAGGAAGAAGAGAATGGTGCCTTTTTCGATGGCAAAATAGACATAGTTTGGCCGGAAAACGGCTCTAAAGTGGCTATCTTGGTCTCGAGTTAGCCACTTTCGAGCCGTTTTTCCGTCAACCTACGGCGATTAGCCATCTAGAAAGGCACCATCCTATTCGTCTTTGAATCACTCAATTTCGTTGAGTATTGAAGAAGTTATGAACATTTAAAGTTTACCTAGTTTCTGGCGAGTTTTCTGGATTTCCCGCGGACCAGTCACCTTTCAGGCTATTTTCCGGCCATCTTCGGCAATCATTGGGCTTCCAAATGGGTATAATCTTGTTCTACATTTTGCTATCTTCATTTTGATATATGATAGGCCGAATTTGGTTAAGAAACGATTGAGTTACGAAGCTTTGAAAATTGCCCAAACTTCCGGCCAAGAGCTCCGGGACACTTAACAGAGTTTTTAATGGAAGAACCAAAATAATGGATGGTGGACAATCTCAGGGACCATTTCTATTGATTTTCAATCTCAGGGACCAAAATGATGTGTTATACAAATCTTAGAGACCATTTTAACTAAAAAGCCGGATAAAAATGTACATTTTTATTGTTCAAAAAAGTACATATGTAATATCAGAAAGTTTTAACCAAGAAACATACACAAAAAATAGGAAGTTCGTAGTAGTGTACAAGGCATAAAACAAATGAATAAAATATATAGCTGGTGAAACTAAAAAAAAAAGGGTAAACCACTCATAGGCAGCTGTTATTTATAATTCTAAAAATGTCATGAAGACACTCGTTTTAAGTGCTAAAAGTAAAATGAGAAAAATGTGTATTAATGTTTTCGGAGTACCAATAAAATTTCTTTCTAATTCAAGAAAGAAGAAATCTTTTTCTTCATGGCCACAGCATTCTCACAAGTGGGATTGAACAGATGGAAGACATGCTCCTCCCCCTTTGATTCTATCACCTCCACAGCCGCACAGCACCCACACTTTCTCAGTGTCTCACCATAATGCCATGCCCTATCTTTCAACACATCTTTCTCAGCAGCAAAAATCAACACTTTCTCACAACCCAACTCCGCCAGTTTCGGATCCTTACACGGGTTTATAAGCGGGTCATCGGATCCACTAGTCGAAGGGTGCACAAAACGCCACATACTAGCCATAAACTCTCTTGTAGCTTCTGGGGTAGTTAACTCTCCCCCAACTGGTTCTGTCCCCCAAAAGTATGGATGTATCAATACAAGCCCAAAAAGCTTAACACCATCCAACCCCTCGGACCCTAATTTCGAAGCCAGGTTGTATGCTATATTAGCCCCAGCGCTGTCGCCAGCGAAGAACACGCGATGACAATCTGCGTAGCGATTTAGCCAATCTTCAAAGCCGTTCCCATCAAAATGAGAAGCAACCCATTTAATAGCATCCCATGAATCATTGTAAGCAGCCGGAAGAGGGTGCTCTGGGGCAAGCCTATATTCAACAGAGACAGCAACAACATTGGCCTCGGATACCAAGGAGTTCAGGTAGTTGTGATATGTGGGAGAAAAGGCGCTTTCCACACAGAACCCCCCTCCATGGAAGTAAACGAGAAGAGGGAGCTTGTCGGTTGAGTTGGTGGCGGATTTGGGGAGGTAAAGCCTTGCGGATATGGGTGGTTCTTGTGAGATCACGACGTCTTTGGATTGGACACCGATTTGGGGCGTTGATGGAGGGACTGTGGATGTGCCTAAGAGTCTCTCGACTCGACCATCTTTGTATGTTTTGACGAATGGAGAGAGATCATGGGCTACTTCGTTTGTCATGTTTGGATTCAAGGAATAGGAGACAATCGGCAACCTTGGAGGTTACCCGAGCTCTTCTCACCGAGATGAAGGTACCTAATAATGGTAAGAAGCTGTCTATTGAATGGAACTAAGGGACTTGATTGCTTTTTATAGACCATATTACGGTCGTTGCCGATCGTGATGAAACTCATGCATACAGTTCTAGAAAATTCTAATAAATTTATAGAAAATGTAAGGAGACCACTTCTATTGTATGGATAGATAGTTACTGTAACGTCTCGTATCAATGGTATAAAAATATTATAAATTTATGTTCATGTGGAATTATATTATTAACATTGAATGTTACAATATGTAGGTGTACCTTATAAGTTGCTTTTTATCTAGACACAATCGAATACAACCGGATCTCATATACAATAAAAGTACCAAACTATATTAGAGTATATCCACAATGGTGTCATTTTTGTGCATCTAATAAGATTATTGTTCTAACTGACGTAGAGTTTACTTTTATTCGTATGGCCTAATTTTATAATAATATCGTATCTGCCCAAAGTCGCACTAACGTTGTTAGGACGCCAAAGAATTTTCAAAAGGCTGTGCGCCGACTGTCTAGGTTCATAATCATTTTTCAAAAACTGTGCGCCGACTGCCAAACAATTTTCCGACCCAATTTAGAGACAGTCAAAGCTTTAGCATGTGATCAAATTGACGAGTGCTGATTTTGATTTGAGTTAAACTAATGTGGCGTTTACTGATCAATATTATATTATTCATCGAGAACTAGTAAACTAGGGCATTATCAATTAATATTATTCCTAACTAGAATACTCACTCAAACAGTTATATCATATTTTTTTCGGATTACTTCAGTCTTAGAGTGAATGCATCAATTTAATCAAGAGGCTGGTCTGTGGTCTAGAACTATTTGATCCAGACACTGTAAATACTTCAGGAACTTCCATGTAGATTTCCATACCCACATCCCCATAGAAATACACTGTTAACATGTCCATGAGCTACATGTTTAGTTTTTTTTTTTTGGAAACTACTAAACTGGTAAGGTAGCGGAACGTCACAACGTCCATAACGGGTGAATACATATCCTCGTAATCACTCACAGGGCATTGATAGAAGCCCTGCACTACAAGGCATGATTTTTATTACACTATTTCATTTATCTCATTACGCTTCCTTAAACCCACTTGTAGCTAATGAGTTTCACATATGGCGGTGTAGAAACTACAGGCCCAATCACCTTGCTTTTTGCAAGTAAATCAAGTTCGATTTGGATTGATTATTTATAGTTTGACCAATCTATTCTATGTCAATATTCATCAACGGAACATGGTTCAATGTCATCGATCAACATGATATCAATAGCTACTACATATGTGAATGCATCGTCCCTATCATCTCATTCCTATTTGAAACCTCATCCAAGCTAGCATAATGGACTGAAATCTCTCGATACTCAATAGGAGGATTCGTCCTTCTAGGATGCTTCTATAATCTGTAATAACCTCCTCATGCATTGATAGGTGATGGTCAAATTTACACTAGTTTCACTAGATTGTGTCGTTTGCTTCCTCTTCTGAGGTTGTGAACTCTTTGAACCATTAAGTCTGCCACGCTTCTGGGTAAGAGCATATGATTTGCTAGTCTCTAATGTATTCGGTTTAGCCATTAGGTGTGGAACTTGCCTTCAAAGGTGTATGATACACTTTAATGGCATCCCATCCTTTTAGGACAGTGGTTCGACGTCCATTAGGTACATCTATCTTTGCAGGCACGTTTGTAGCTAGTATATGTGATCTGTTAACATTGGCTAGATTAGTAAAAGCATCCAGCATGCTTTGAGAAACAGTCTGAAGATCTAGGATACATCACACTTCAGTGTTAGATTGTGCGATGTGGGGATCTAAATGAGACATAGTGAGATACGTCCAAGACAATTCATGTATTCTTCAAGAATGCTGAAGTTCTTATCTCCCTCTAACGGTGGGAAGATTGTCTTATAAAAGTGACAATTCGCAAAATGAGTGGTAAAGAGATTGTCTGTCAAAGGGTTCTAAGTATCAAGTAATTGAAGGAGAATCATAACTAACATAGATTACCATCTTTCTATGAGGGCCCATTTTTGTACATAAGGGTGACTCAATTGGCACATAGATCACACAACCAAAGATGGGCAAATGTAAGATGTTGGGCTTGTACCAGTGACCAACTATAATGCATAATAAGATTAGGTCGATATCGGTCTTAGGCATACCAACATGGATGTGTGAATTATTGCATGGCCCCAAGCAAAGACATGGACTTTGGTGCGCGTGACCAAAGTCTGAGCGATCAATTGAAGTCAGTTTAATGAATGCGTCAGCTAGGTCATTTTGTGTATGAACATGGGGTACAAGATGTTCAACTTGAATCCCAATCCCAATTGTTTTGCAATAATCATTGAATGTTTTTAACGTGAATTCTCCATCATTATCCAGTCGAGTCGACTTAATTGGATAACGAAGGTGGTGAAACCTTAGCTTGATAATTTGAGTTAGAAGTTTGGAGAATGCGGTGTTTCGTGTGGACAAAAGGGTGTGACCAAAGTGTAGAAGTATTAACCTATACCAGAAAGTATCTAAATGGTCCACAAGGCGGTTGAATAAGTCCACAAATGTCCTCTTGAATTCTTTGAAGAAAGGTTGGAGGATCTGCTTGGATCTTGTTCGAAGATGGGCACATGAGAAGCTTTCCCAGCAAACACGTTTGGCATGCAAAATTCTAATGAATGTCGCCTAAACTTTGGTTAGGGGATGCCCATTTGAAGTTTTGAGGATACAACATTTCACAGCTCGACTAGGGTTTCCCAAATGATCATGCCAAATCAAAGTTTTCCAATACAAGCCCAGACTCAGGGCCGGCCAAATAGTGGCTTTCAATTAGGCAAATGGTTGTAATGTACACACCATTCGGAATGTGCTCCATCTTCTCTACAATGCGCTTTTAGGCATATTCATAGGAAGTTATGCAAAGGAATTGAACTCCATTTTCTGTAGAGGTTTCAGAGTGATAATTATTATCCCGAATGTCTTTAAAGCTCAACAACGTTCTTCAAGAACATGGTATATGAAGAGCCTTTTTATTGGTTAATGTAGTACCAATTGACAACATATACGAGCAGTGTTGTACCACTTAATTAGGTCAGATGGACTAAAAAGGTTATCAGAGGTGATATTTTAGGTATGAAGTTAGTAAAGATATATATGTGTTCACGCAAAATGGTGTGTGTGCTTGTACTATTTGTCAAACAACTAACTTCCCACAACATACCTAGAAAAAAATTAATTGAATTGGTCACAAGTATAAGAAATTTAAAATGTTTGTTCATTTAGTTAATCATTCAGGAAATAATATCCATTAAACTTAAAATTAATAAATTAAACAATCACCAAACAAATAGTCCAAATAAAAGAAATTGTTCAAAACTTAAACCAGAAAATAAGGGGCCAACATAGGGAATTCAACCCACAGGGGAAATTTGGCCAACATTGGCCCATGTCCAAAAATTCTATTATTCTTTTGGAGCAGATGCCTCCAGAAAATTAGAAACCTTTATCTTAGGATCTTTAGGTTTCTCTATTGGAGCAAAGTTTGTCTCAAACTTTTGGCGGCGTGAATGATACTCAGCTACAGCTTAGTGGAAGCTCGACAAACCCGAGATCAATAGTCCTCCAAACCACATTTGTAACATATATTCGCTTATATGGTTTCAAGTGATTTGTCTTTGTTCTTGAAGTTTGAGGCTTTGAGAGCAAGGTTGTCGTGCTTCGAGGCTTTGTTTCCTCCCTTCGATGGGCCATAACTCTGTTGGTTTTGGGCTTCATCTTCTAGTCATGTCTAACATGCCTAGATCGGTAATTTGGGCCTCGATTTTTATTGGCATGTGCTTCAGGTACAATGATGAAGCTATTAGGTTTAGCTTTATGACTTTTCATTAATAGCTGGTTTTGCTTTTGAGCAAGTAGTAAGACAGAGATCAAATCTGAAACTTTAGAAAACTTATGTGCCTTATATTGTTACTGCAGGACAATGTTGGGGGCATAGAAGGTTGAATAGGTCTTTTCCAGAAGATCCTATTGAATAGAGTCCTCTTTATAGAACTTAAGAAGTGATGAGATTCAAAAAACTTCAGAGTTGTATTTGTTCACAGACTTAAAGTCCTAGAATCGTAAATGCTGCCAGTCGTGTCTTTCTTCAGGCGAGAATATATCTCTTGAATGATCAAAACGATCTTCCAAAGTGATCCACAAAGCTTGTGGATCCTTCTTAGTGAGGTACTTGATCTGTAGTTCGTCATGCATATGCCTTCGTGTGAAGATCATGGCAGTTGCTTTGTCAACTTCGCAAACCGAAATATCCTTCTTAGCTGCAATGATAACCTTAAGACTCTTTCCAATGAGGTGGTGTTTTACATCTTGGACCCACTTAAGGGAGTTAGAGACTTCCAAAGTAGTAAAGTCGAGTTTGTTCAAATTTATCATGTTGTTGTCACAAAAGGGAACAAGATTATGGTTAGTGCAAAGGAGAAAAAATCATCCATACACAAATGGATAGGATATTCATGTTCTATTGGACATGTTTTGGTTTTAATTTTCAAGAAAAACTTCAGGTTTTCATGGTACTATTTGAAACTTTGGGTTCGAATTTTTATGAACTACAAGTTCATAAGTTCCCACAAGCAAACGTAATATATATAGAACATATAACTTAATGTTGGTCTTCAAGGCCTACTATATAACAAATATATGTAAAAGAAAAAAAAAATTGTTGTTGCGGGCTAGTAGAGAAGAAACAGACAACAAGCCCAAAACGCCTAAAAAACCAAGCAATGATATTTTGGTGTGGTTCACTGGACCAACGGGCTGAGCAGAAGAAACAAAGTCCCAAGTCCAGAATTTGGCTGGATTTGTCGTGCGGGCTAAGAAATGACAGAGGGCAGCAGGATAAAAATTTGGTCCATGTAGGCTAGATGTTGTAGACAAACCCAGACAGAATCCCAATGGGCTTGTGGATGCACGTTGAGCGCAATGAAGCCCAACATGGGTCTCGAGTTGGTCCAGAGTAGTCCAACATCACTAGGTAGGGGTTCGTCAGAACAAATCCAATGGTATTACATTTGGT